AAACGGGAGACGGGAGGAAAGCTGCTTGCCATGGACTAGATATGCATCCCTTTCAGGCAAAAAAGAAATAATCCCAACCCAAAAGCAGGCAAGGTGAACCATTCAGTCCGTGTCCAGACTGATGTGGTAATTTTGTAAATTAATCCATGTAGGAAAGAGCCCTTCAGAGACAGAACTCCTGCAAGCCAGAGGAATTTATTCCCTCTGAAGCCATGGACGTGACGAAGGGACTCTTACGACTTTTGTTCGGATTGGATGGCAGTTTTCCTACAGCTGCAGCGGTTTTAAGGCATTCAGAAGCTTTTCCTGTGACAGAGTTACTAAACCGCCTTACTAAGGAATCACAAAGTCTAGAAAAATCCACTTAAAGGACCACGGATCTCTTTTTTTTTTCAATCTTTTACAATGTTAACATTATTTCAGAGCATGAATTCTAACTGCCAAGGACATACTACTAACGTCACATACAATACTTACATTCCTTTTTCATTCTTATTATTGAAATACAAAATTTCAATATAATTGTTACAATCTAAATTGTAATACGATTGATAAACAACACCAAATTTTCAACATAAAGTAGCTGGGAAACGGAGGGTTTGGCTAACATCAGCCATGCAATTACAGTTGCAAGCAAAACAAACAAGCAAACAAACAATGAAAAACAAAAACAATACAAAAAACGAAAAAAAAAGCCTAAATATTGGAGCAGGAAATTTTGAGTCCATTCCTTATAGAAGGTTTCTCCCATATTATTTTTTTAAGGCAGTGTATTATTTTGTTTGATAATTAATCTTAACTTGTTGTTTAAACCCTCAATATATGGACATACACATTTTCTGCTGCAATCCCAAAAAGGTATTTTTGGATCTCTTCCTTATATTTGGTCCAGAGTCGTGCCCGACGAGTCCAGAAGAAATCTAAGACCCAGGTCTATTTCTTGTATTTGTCATGAGAATTACCGGGCGCCCACTCGAGAAATTCAAACTCAGATAATGCTTCATCTGGCCTCGCCATCATGATGACGTCTAGTCATGTGAAAGAGAGCCCGGAGGATTCGTCATCTCAACGCCAATATGGAATTCTACATCGACAAATCCTTTATATCGCTCAGAAAGACGATGAAAATTTATAAGAACATCTATGGAGAGTTTATTGAATAACGGTTATATGTGGATAATGCCAGTTTACAAAGTAAATGAAATTTTTTCACGGAATATCGTTGAATACAGTTTTGTACAACAACAAATGACATATTTTTGTCCGCAATTTTGTGACATGAACCTGTAACCGTAGTTATAACTTTTTGTAAAATAAATAAATCAAAGACACTCTAATATATTGGTTTTTCTTGCCACTTTCTCATTCTGTTCATAATGATGCTGTTTAAGTGAATGATTTCCATTCTGTTCACTATTTTTCATGGAGGATTACTACTCAAATCAATTTTTTCGCTTGTTTTTCAGCCGTTCACTTTCCCATCCGTATTTTTTTCGAATTTGGATTGATTGTTCCCTCGGCGTCGTATCACTTAACCGTGCATTGTTCCTTTCGTAACTTCATTTGCCTCTCTGTTATCCGTCAAAAAACAAAATAAGATCGTCGTAATTCGCATTGTAAATTAGTTCATGTTTGTATCCGGAGAAGTGTACAGATCTTGTAAGTAATAATTTCTTTTCTTGTATCTTTATTGCAAATTTTGCCTGTTTTTCGTTCAAAAAGCTGTATATTCGGTCCTTGGTTAAGTGTTTCGAGCACTTGTATGTTTCCTTTCTAAATATATTTGTTTTATTTAAACGTTACTTGACAATTGTACGCATGCAAGTCTGTACAAGGAGTCATTTTCATAATTTTTTCCAGAAAACTGAACCAAAAATTACTACCACTGAAAAATTCACCTTTGAGGGATCCAAATTAGTTTCAAAAATAAGATAGCATGTTCATGAATGTCGGCTTTAGTCAACGTGTTAAAAACTTCTTTAAAATAATTTACTAATAGAAAACAAGAATTTGGAGTTATTTAAAATAAAATGAATTGTTTTTCTAAATTGGAAAAAAATTAACAATGCAGCAATTTTTTTTTCATGGACTATCATCTAATAATTGTAATTTAATCTGGGAGTTGTTCGTCGTCTTTTAGTAAATTAAGATGTTCCATGTTATTTTATTTTATTTTTTGTTTAATAACAGTTGTATCCGGAGTTTTAGAAGTGAAATCATTTTACATAATACCTTTTATACCACTGACAAGTTTGACAGTTACCAATTTAATTTTTTTTAAATGTTTATACAGCTGATTCTGCAAATGAAAACTTCCGATCGACTATCTTCAAACTTTTAGTTCTTTACACCTACGTATTATACATATTGTACGTATCTCAGTTGAAAGGCATTTCTTGCAAATTTGTCGCTGAAAAATGGTCAATATTTCTGGTTGGGAAAACGAATTTGAAGAGATGTTTGCAGACACTCTTACACCATTGTTAATTATAACCTGGCTTAAAATCATGTTACGACTTTAAGTGGAAAAAAATAAGCGTTACTGATTTGGTCGCTTGTCCGAAAAGAAATCAAGAGGAGGAAAGAAAAGAAAAGATGACCATCAGAAATTCGATGTAACAAAGCGAAGAATACTTTTCTTATGTACGTATGTTTCCTATAAATCGTCACGTTTTTAAACTTTGGAAGTTCATATTTGATCTTCTCCATTAAAATACCATTTTTTTAATAAAACAACAATTGTAAATAAAGTCTTTATGTTGAGAATAGTGTATACTTAGAAACGATGTCAATCGGCCAGAATATAACTTTTTAATGTTCTTTTGACAGCATCGAAAGTACACAACAAGACATTTTGCGTGGTCAGATTGTGCAAACAGGGGCAGTTACTCGATATAAAGGTTAACCAGACTGTCAAAGGCCCTACAAAGGTTTTCATTCGTTCGTTGAATCATTCAAGATGAGGCTAGAGGTGTTGCTTTTGGCGTTCGTCGCTACGGTTTACTGTGAACCTTTCGTTGAGGAGCAAGACCCTTTGTTAATGGATCAGGAGGATCACGCAACGGAGAAACGGCATCATAATTATTATTGTTTGGCGGTAAGCGGTCTGATTCTGAATTGAACGCTAGCTCCTTTCGGAGAAAAGCATTCGCAAGCCTACGTAAAATTGCCTTTTCTTATTATTGTTAGTGGTAAGTGGTGAGCATTTCATTCCCCTTCTTTCCATTGCCGTGAGGACAAGAGGAATTGCAAAATGTTCTCGCGTAAAACGTGAAACGTAAAACGTGTTATAAGCACAGTTTTTTGTGATTTGTGATAAGCGTCATCCGTCCAACTTCGACTTTGACTTCCATTCCTATTTTTATGTCAAGATGAAGAATAGCACAATATAAGTAAGTAGATTGATTCAAAGTCTAAAAAACCTACAGTAACTCTTTGAAGCGTCATTCTGGTCTTAGAAACTTTTGGAAAAAAAGTTTGAGTATCAGTTTACAGCGGAAACAGCTTAGAATGTGTCTCGTAAGGACGCCAATTTCCACCAAATTTTAAGAAAAGATGGTATAAAAGATTAATTTAAGTTTTGAGACAAAAATTGCTTGTTCTGTTGTCCGGTAACTAGATCGCAAAAAAACGAGACCGTCCCTCCCCCGCTTCTCCTCATCATTTTCCAGCCTTAGGATGTGGGGAAAAATCTCGATTGTTTCCGTTACACGTGTCAAACACCCTGAGGAAGGTTACTTCTTGTCGCGGTGTGTATCAAGTCGCAATATTAATCTGACAACCACATCTACACGGAAAAGATATCGCACGTACTTTACTTGAGAAGTTTTACATCACTTTTATTTGTCAACCATAACAATATCAATTAGGCACACATCTTTAATTTGCTTGCTCTAGAGAAAGCGAGATGTATCATTTTTGGTTGTAACTCTGTTGGATGAGAAAAGGGTTCGGTAGCAGATCAAAATCGAACATTATGATCAGCCGGTAAAACTTCTTAGTAAGTAACGTTTGTTTGCTGATATACCGCGAACAAACTTCAAAATTTGTTTCAGATTAAACGGTTTGAAAAGTCAAACAAAAAAATTTTTTTCGACATCCGCAACTTTAAGCCTCACAGCTTAAGATGTAAACAGATGAAAGGTAAGGGGTATTTTCTTTAAATGTTGGACGGTAACTCCCTTAAATTGTTTACTGTGTAGATTTGTAAATCGTGCATTTCTTTAAATCGTGTATGGACGTTTTATTCGAAAAAAGTGAAAAATTCAAACAACAAAAAATGAAAAAAAATTTAAAAAACACCAAATGAAAACAGAGCAAACCAAACATAACAAAAAAAAAAAGATAAAAAGCAAAAAAAATTTAAGAAAAAAAGGTAAAATAACAGCAACAACAAACCAAGAAGAAGGAATAAGACAAGAACAAATAAAGAAATATCAGAACATATATGAACTCAGCATTGAAAAAAATATGCAATTATTATGCGTTATAAAACAACTAGGATACCATGCGCGCCCTGATTGGTCAAAAACCGATTATGTATTGCACCACATGTACAGAATTAAATTTATCTTATTAAATTTATCATATAAAAACAATGGACCTTATTTTCTATTGGTTCACGGGCGTGATAACCCACTTGGCATGTTGGGAGAACACGAGAGATATTTATAAAGAACAGTATGGAGAATATGTAAACTGATGTTTGTTTTTAACAGAGAGGATGTTACTACAATGGGCATTGCCCAAGCGGTTATTACTGCCATAGATATTACCGCCGCTGTTGTCGACTTAACCCGCGTAGATGCTCTCACAAATCGCACTGTTCTAGCTCGCAGTGCTGTGCAAAGTACTCGTACCAGTATTATGGATACTGTAGAAGCCTCAAGCAACCGGGAGGATGGTGTCCATGGAAGGGAGTGAGTTAGATTTTGATATAATTTGTCTTTAATAGAGACCTTTTTCATGTTCTTGAAAATGTATTGCCCAATTCGAAGGCGCTTTGAATAGAAAAGTATACCTTTGAGGACAAAGGTCATTAGTCTAGAATAAAACAGTTGATAGCGTTGAAGGCGCCCTCTGATTGGCCACTCAAACCCTGAATATCCTTTGTTATTCACCACTGTGAAACGCGCGAGGGATCTGCGCCTGAAACTGTTGTAATCGTTACAGGAATAATGAGTTAAAATCATCTTTTTGTATTTTATCATCTCACTTCGTTTTATTTGATTCTAAAACAAATATTCTCCTCAATAACGGTGGCTAGCGGTGGATATTTACCTTACCGCCTCACTGCCTGATCAATATTAACCCTTAGCCATCTCGGTTAATAGTTGTAACTATTTTCCAAGGGAGAACGACTGGAAACAGAGTTACATTCCTAGTCAGAGCCCCTAGATATGCGATTTCCAATATACAATTTATCGGTAGACCGTGCGCAGTGGTTCGGTTTCCTTCAAAATCAACGTATTTAGAATTTTTTTTGGATTTTCGCAGCCTGACGGTTACAACTGTGGCTGTGGACAAGGATACACTTGTCAGAGATATGGGTCGAATTACTACTGGGGGAAGTGCGTGGCTAGTTGTTCCAGAGACAGTAGCTGCAAGAAAACAGAGTGCTGTTCTGGTCGTCGTTGCAAACCACGGAAGGGGGCAGGAAAATACTGTCCGCGCAAAGGGGTAATTAAATTGTTTTTTCTTAATCAAAGCTTTATATTCATTTTTCAAAGATATGAATTTACCTTCAGTCTGCGTTGGTCGAGGTTCTCTTGTTCTCAGTCCCACTCTTTCCCTTTAAATTCGTATTCCGATTCTTGAACCATATTTTTAAAGATTGTGTTGAATTGTCTTGACTTTTACAGTCCTATTCAGCCAAAGATTCTGTTATGTCGCATTATTTCTTGATTCTACCTTAGGTTTAATTCAATTTTTTTGCAGTCTCTAACTTTAAAGAGCTATTTTGAAAACTTAGATCAGGTTACTCTCAAGGGAAGAACAGATATGTACACTTGCCAGCCTCCTTGCATCAGATAATGACAATAAGATAAAGGGGGTTTAAATACAACGAGCGAATTTATTATGGGTCTTACGCCCTACTGGGTTGAGCAACCAAACTGAAAAATCAACATCCACGAGCTGGACTCATACCATTCGACTAACAAAATTCTCACTTGACTGATGATGAATTCTGGGGCGAAATGGTTAAAATGTGGGCGAACTTGTTTTACTTCAGCGGGCGATCTTACAAAGGGGCCAAATCCTCATAAATCCTTCTGCTAACATTGTAAAAACATTAGTCACCGTCTTTTGTCGACTGCTGATCGCGAGTTCATTCATAGTAATCACGAGGGGCAGTGTTAGATATTTACAAGAGAAGATAACGGGACATGTAGAGAAGGAGGCTTCTGGTTCAGGCAAGAATATAGGGATATGTCATATTCACCTGAGTTCTTATTTATAGATAGTCTTAACCGGACCATCATCTGTTCACATAAGAGACTAAATATTGAACATTAGGCTTAGAAATCAATGACAGTTAATGAATTACAGGCGCTGGTTTGTCCGGTCGTTCGAATGGTGGACGAACACTGTCTCAGTGGATGAATCTCTATCCGGTGGATGGCGCAGTATATCTTGTTAACAGTTATTCTCTGGATAGCGATTTATCCGTTGGATGGTGTTATCTACCCTTTGATCGACTGGGCCCAGGATATTAAAATGTTCAGACTAATCAAATATCACGAGTTCGTTTTTACTTGTACAAATCTTCCCTTCATCCATTATTTTTTTCGTGATATTTCTTTCCTGTACTAGTTAACGGCTGAGAATACGAAGCGTGGAGAAATATTTTGACAAGCTCAGCTATGAATAATCTTAGCTACGTGTCACTTGATTCAACTGACGTTACAAATGCTCCTTTGATAAAGTAAATTTTAACTGATAGTTTTTGTTCGCTCGATGTGATTTTTAGGCCGATATTTACCACTGTGGCTGCATCGAGGGATATGAATGCCAGGACGCTGGAGTGGGAAAGTACTGGGGCAAATGTGTAAAGGTTGCGCCCCCTACCGAGGAGCCTGGATCTGGGCTCGGGGAATAGCCTCGTCATCATGCTGAGTCCAATCGAGCCAGCGATACATTTCAAATTCGCTCAGTTGGCAACATTGGTGTAATATTAATTGCTTTAAACAAAAAGGGGATAATAAAACATGGCAAATGAAACCTTGTCCGAGATGTAGTTTGGTGGTCGTCCAAAGGGCAGACATATGCATCGAATACTTCCTGTACCTCAGAGTATCTTACTTAATATTCAAATTCTTTTTTTTCCTTTTTCTTCCTAATGTGACTGGCGTAACGTAGTCACAGTGAAAAAGTTGGTTACGCACAGCGTGATAGCTATTGTTTGCCGATTTTACTTTCATCGGATATCTTTGTCACGATGCAGATGTTCGCAAAAAGGCGCTACAAAATATTTCTTGAAATCAGACCCATATGCTCCAGTACCCACTCCTCAATCCATGCCATTCCTAATTTTACAAACGATCATCATTACCTTGCGTCTTTCGAGGTCAACAAACATTTTCGGCTAAATTGAGAAGTACTACTAAAGGTTTCCAGGACCATATGCAGAGTCGTACAGTTCTTATCAAGAACTGTTTTTTAACTCGCAGCCCTTAATCAGTAGATTTTTTCATTCTTTTTATCTTCTTTTTGAAACTTATGATGAAGAAGTCGTTAGTAGGGACTGATTTAAAACAGTGGATTAATTAACAAAAGAAACCCATTATATCTGTCTGTTAGTTTCCTTTGAATCCATGGTATCAAACAATCGAGAAAAAACGAATATTTTTATAGTTTTGTAGGACCTTTACTTGTCCTAGAGGTAAACGTGATATAATTTTAAGTTGATGTAGAGATTGTTATCATCTGTGCAAATAACAAAAGGAAGGGTTTTGTAATGTCATTTTTTGTTTGAATTTCGGACCTACAGTTCACCATCTCTCAACCACCAAATCCCAAATATATTTACTAACCGTGTGTTACTATAACAATGCAAAGGCATCGTGTCACATATGGACTTTTTCTCGAGTTTACCCGAAGCTTACCCATATAAACGACTTAATTTCCAAGCTTAATAAGGCCGATTTTAAAATTTGAGGCCTCTTGTCAGTTGATTTCGTGTGTTCACACTGACTATGACTAAATAAATGAATAAGTAGAGTTATTAATATGGTACAATAAACTCAAAACGATTGGAAAGCTATTATACATGGTGCCATCCTTCTTCGAAAAAAAACCTGACAACCTCTCAGTAAGGATGAAATCTGTGGGGTTTCCGAACCAGTGGCCTTCTTCGACAGTCGCTGAGATACTGAGCCAAGACTGTAACGTTTAAACTTAGTGGAGGAGTGAAGATTGAGATAAAAAGTTGCTTTAATTATTGTTCTTGAGCGAATTGGAAACTCAATGTTAAGAATTATGTGAAACAGCTAATCAAATATGCTTTCCGAGCACGTTCACTTTCATTAAATACACATTCTAAAAACTAAAGAAAGGTGCCACAAACGTTGAACATGTTTAAGATGCCGCTTTCTATACTCTACACGCGCCCAAAACAAACTTCACACATGGAGAAGAAAATTTGTAAAGCGTTGAACCAAACGGCAAATTTGAGCTGCTAACAGACTTCCCAGCGCTTGTTCAGTGCTCCTTGGTTCACAATGGATGGAAACGAGCAACGTGGCAAAAACGAAGCGTATAAACCGGGTGCTTTTCGTGCCCTTTTTACAAAAGACAAGACTTGTTGGCACTGTTCTTACCCTTTGGCGAAATGAGGTTTCTTTTGGGATTCTCAGTGCTAGCATCGTTCTATGTGGCTAGTCACGGTGGAGCTAAGATAGAGGAAGATACTGAAATCGCCAGGCGTGCTTATGTAAGTATGTTATTTTTCTAGATAAGAAAGACAAATCTAAATCACCTCATTTTGTAACTATTTGAAATCGTGGCGGAATTGTAGGATATCTAAGTGTAACTACATTGACCCCGTCACGGTGGTGCCTTTTCGTTGTGAAAATCTTCCATATCATCAAGATAACAAAAAAAGGACATTGTTTTCTTTTGATATCATAAAACCACGATATTTGTTGATTGATCTATGAATAAGAATCGACATTTTTTTTCTAAAGTGAAAAGACGTATAATTTTTTTTCGAAGGATCGATATTTTTTTTTCTAAAGTGAAAAGAAGTATAATTTTTTTCGAATTGAAGCAATGTTCAGATGCTCATGGTAGAGTTTTAATAGCATTCTAAGTCGATCGAACAAGACAGCTGTTGTCTCATTCAGATACATAGATACATCCAAGACTACCGCAAAATTGTCCCAAAGGACAAACGAATAAAAGGGGTAAGTTTCTAAGGAAACTGTGGTGCTGCATCGGTGGAAGAGTTTAACAAGATAATTTGGTTTTATCAATTGAGTAAATAACGTAAAGAGTTTCTAAGCTGATGTTTCGGGCATTACCCATTCGTCAGAGCGAAGGACAGTCGAACTAAAAAATCTGTTGAAGAACCGTTTAAGCGCGCCGCATCTATCAATGATATTTTTGTTTTATCAACTGGGTTGATAATGTGAATTGGCCACCGTAAAGAGTTTCTCAGCTGTTGTATCGAGCGTTAGTCCTTCGTCGGAACGAAAGACAGTCGAGCTAAAAAATCTGTTGAAGAATCGTTTAAACGCGCTGCATCTATCGGTGATATTTTTTATTTTATCAACCGAGTTGATAATGTAAACTGGCCATCCCAAAGAGTTTCTAAGCTGATATTTCGAGCGTTAGCCCTTCGTCATCACAAAGGACAGTTGAGCTGAAAAATCTGTTCAAGAAGCGTTCCAACACGCTGGATCTATCGATGCGTGTAAACAGTTACGAAGTCAGATAACCCTGTGTTGCAAACTACTAATTCTCTCAGTGCAGAAAATCACCAGTAACTACACTATCCTGTAAGATTTACTAAATTTTGCCGTACCAGTTAGGCGAAGGTAATCAATTAATCAATCAATCCAACTTTATTTATCGAGGGTAACACGAAACAGTTACAATACTGATAAACTTGTGGCCCTCCTACAACAAATCCTATTTATATACTGAAAATATCCTATAAATATATATATATATATATATATATATTATATATATATGCACTAAGAAAAAGGAAGGTAAAAGGAAAATTCCCAAGCTATTTATCACTCTTCGACAAAAACACACTAACATTTCACGCAACATATCATTGGCAGATACCATGCGGCAACTATTATTGTCACGATGGATTCTACTGCTACAGTGGTAACTGCCGGCCCATTCGCTCCTGTGGAGCTCACGATCACTGCCCCTCGGACCAATACTGCGACATTCACCTAAGGGTCTGCAGGAAAGGAATCAGGAGGTGTTATGCCCACCATGAATGTGGTTACGGGAACATCTGCAAGGGTGGTATCTGTAAGAAGCGAGAGTGCAGGAAACATACAGACTGTCCTGATAACGAAGCCTGCTATTATCCGGGCATCTGCAGAGGCTACCAAGCTTACTGCCACGAGGGATACCCAGGATATTGCAAGGATGGATATGTTTGTGTAGCAAGTGAGTTTACGGAAAGTATTAGGATGTAATGTGGATCATTACGGACCAGTCATTCTTTATCACTAGGTTGGGGGGGGGGGGGG